GCTGGGATTACAGGTGTGAGCCACCGCACCCAGCTCATTCTGCTAATTGATCTCTGGTGGAAAAGAATTTTTGGTTCATTTTTGCAGATTAGCTTTGTTTAAAACAGGAGGCTAATTGTACTTCCAGGGAACCTAGAAACAGCATGTTGTAAACAATGGCCCATAATGGCAAAAGCTCAACGATTGAAAGACTTGCTCCAGGGCCCTTTGAAGGTCATTCCCCTCCCTAAATTGTGATGGTCAACTTGGAGGATGTAGGTGGGACAGTCACTTCCTCAGCTTTTTTTTTTTTTTTTGAGACAGAGTCTTGCTCTGTTGCCCAGGCTGGAGTGCAGTGGTACAATCTCAGCTCACTGCAACCTCCACTTCCCAGGTTCAAGCAATTCTTCTGCCTCAGCCTCCTGAGTAGCTGGAATTACAGGCGTCTGCTATCACGCTTGGCTAATGTTTGTATTTTTAGTAGAGATGGGGCTTCACCATGTTGCCCAGGCTGGTCTTGAACTCCTGACCCCAGGTGATCCACCTACCTCAGCCTCCCAAAGTGGTGGGATTACAGGCATGAGCCAGTGTGCCCAGCCCTCCTCAGCATTAAAGTAAGTCAGCTACAACAGAGGTCTGAGAGGAAAGTGACATTGATGACCTGAATGGCTTGGGCTTGGTACCACTTATCTGTACCACACTCAGTGGTGGTCACTGGGAGGATTCACAGGATAAAACCCACTCCTCTGGGCACAGGTGGCCAAGGTAAGCATTATTTGTGGACAGGTGGATATGACAGACATATTCATCCCACTGCCTGTCCTGGTCCCCTGAGCTGTCTGCCACCTCTTGAGCCCTAGGAATCTTGGAGGCTGCTGGGCAGACCCTGCCCCAGAGGAAAGGGGTGGGGGTGCCTGCCTGAGCATGTCTTCCTGTGTCCTGGGCTCTGCCTGTGTCTGAATACCACTCCTCATCAGAATGCAGTGGGGGCCAAGTCCCTGATTCCAGACCAATGACAGAGGGTTAGCTTTCCCCAAGCTACATGATCCAGGTGAGGCTCACATCACCCAAGGACATAGGCCAGGGTCATCAGCAGTGTGGGGAGTGAGAGAGAAAGAGAGGAAGAGAGAGAGAGAGAAAGAGGAAAATAAAAAGAAACTGAGAGGGGGTAAAAGGAGAAAGAAAGCGGAGGGAAAAAGGAGAGAGACACACAGAAAGAGACAGAGAGAGGGAAGAAGAGAGGGAAGAGAGGAGAAAGGAGGAAGAGAAAGAGGGAGAAAGAAAAGCAGGGGAGAGGGAGGCAACGGGGTGAGAGGCAGAGAGGGGTCGAGAAACCCTTAGGTTATTTCCACAGGAGAAGGATTCATTCCAGGCTGAGGGTGGTAAAACATTTTGGCTTTTCAGGATTTAAATTTTCTCAGAGTCTAGCATGATGTCTACCTTGCACATTGAAGGACCTGCTTAAATAGGTGATGGAGGGAGAGAAAAGTATACTTTATTATAATACTTTTTTTTTTTTTTTTTTTTTGGAGACAAAGTCTCACTCTTTCACCCAGGTTGGAGTGCAGTGGCATGATCTCAGCTCACTGCAGTCTTCGTCTCCTGGGTCCAAGCAATTCTCTTGCCTCAGCCTCCTGAGTAGCTGGGATTACAGGTGTCCGCCACCATGCCTGGCTAATTTTTGTATTTTTAGTAGAGACAGGGTTTCGTCATGTTGGCGAGGCCACTCTTGAACTCCTGACCTCAGGTGATCCCCCTCTCTCGGCCTCCCAAAGTGCTAGGGTTACAGGCGTGAGCCACCATGCTCAGCCTATTATAATACATTCTTATGTATGCTGTTTATTAGCTTAAAAAATCATTTTTTTTTTGGGTGAGGGGCAGGAACAGTGCTAACTCGATAGGGAACAAATTGTATCTCATTTTTATTTTACGTTTCTCTGAATTCCAAGGGTTGATTTACCTCAATTTTTACTAGTTGCCAGCATTCTATCAGATTTCTGTTTATGTCCTTTGCCCATTTATCTATTGAGGAGGACTGTTTCTTATTGACTTGTAACTGCTTTTTTTTTTTTTTTTTTTTTTTTTTTTTTGAGACAGAGTCTCGCTCTGTCGCCCAGGCTAGAGTGCAGTGGCCGGATCTCAGCTCACTGCAAGCTCCGCCTCTCGGGTTTACGCCATTCTCCTGCCTCACCTCCTGAGTAGCTGGGACTACAGGCACCCGCCACCTCGCCCAGCTAGTTTTTTGTATTTTTTTAGTAGAGACGGGGTTTCACCGTGTTAGCCAGGATGGTCTCGATCTCCTGACCTCATGTTCCGCCCGCCTCGGCCTCCCAGAGTGCTGGGATTACAGGCTTGAGCCACCGCGCCGGCCTGTAACTGCTTTTCTTATTTTAAGGACATGGACTCCTTGTCTTATTTGTCACAATATTTGTCCCCTAATTTGATGTGCATTGTATTTTGTTTTATTTATCGATTTATTTATTTACTTTTTAACCTACAGAACAGCTTGCTAAACCTGTTTTTTTGTACTCATCACTATTAAAATTATTCAGTAACCATATAAAGTGTAATACTCTAAATAGCGAATTCATTGATTTTTAACTTTTAAAAAGTTTTATTTTTTTGAGACAGGGTCTTCCTGTGTTCCCCAGACTCGGGTGCAGCAGCATGATTTCAGCTCACTGCAGCCTCGACCTCCTGGGCTCAAGCAATTCTCCCACCTCATCCTCCCATGTAGCTGCTACTACAGGCATACCACTATGCCTGCCTGGCTAATTTTTTTTTTTTTTTTTTTTGAGACGGAGTCTCGCCGTGTCGCCGAGGCTGGAGTGCAGTGGCGTGATCTCGGCTCACTGCAAGCTCCGTCCCCCAGGTTCACGCCATTCTCCTGCCTCAGCCTCCCGAGTAGCTGGGACTACAGGCGCCCGCCAGCGCGCCTGGCTAATTTTTTGTATTTTTACAAAACACAGGGTTTCACTGTGTTAGCCAGGATGGTCTCGATCTCCTGACCTTGTGATCCGCCCGCCTCGGCCTCCCAAAGTGCTGGGATTACAGGCATGAGCCACCGCGCCCGGCCTAATTATTTTTTTTTAAGAGATGGGTTCTCCCTATGTTACCCAGGCTGGTCTTGGCCTCCTAGGCTCAAGCAGCCTGCCTGTCTCAGCCTCCCAAAGTGCTGGGATTACAGGTGTAAGCCACCATGCATTGCTCTAGTAGTTAAACAGATACTAGAGGGTAGTAGTCAAAAACTTTGAGAGGGAAGGAGGTGGGGAGGGAGAGGAGGAGAGAGAAAAAGAAAAGAAGAGTAAGTGAACAAAAAGAGAGAAGAGAGAAAGAGGAGGAAGGAGTGAAAGAGAAAGAAATACAATCAGCCTCCCAACCTTCATGACACATCTCCAGCTCTGAAGCATCCAGAAACTCTGGAGATTTTTTGTTCTAACACGACTTGACCTCATTGTGTTCCCAGAGAAGAATCTAAGTGTGGCCTACTTTATAGCCCTTCAACTGGAAACGGGCCACCATTTTGGTCCTTCTGACAAACCAAGTCCTCATTGTTTGGTGAGGGAGACCATTCAAGGGCCCCTCCAGATCGACTGAGGAGGGAGCCTGCAGGCAGAGGCACAGGAGGAAGCCTCTGATTTTCTCACTATGGGAGTGAGTGGGTCAAGATCCTTTCAAAACCTTTCAGGGAATGATTCACCATGATGGGCACAGCCAGGGTCCCCAAGATTTGTTTCTAGATTAAAGACTTATTAGAAGTTTCTCATCCTGCTCCAAATGTCTACAACTTCAGGAATGTACCGCTAAGTCTGCTATCAGGGCCTTAATGGCTAATGGCCACTCAGCTGTTGGGTACCATCTTGAAATAGTCACCCAGAACTTGGGGGCCATTTTGAAATGGTTGCCCTAGAACTCAGGTGCCATTTTGGAATGGTTACCCAGAACGAGGGTACCACCTTGAAATGGCTGCCCAGAACTTGAGGGTCATCTTGGAATAGCCACCCAAAGCTTGGGGACCATCTTGGAATGGCTACCCAGAACTTGAAGGCCACCTTGGAACTCAGGGACCATGTAAGAATGGCCACCAAGAATTTAGAGGTCATCTTATCATGGTAGCCCAGAACTCAGAGGCCATCCTGGAATAGCCACCCAGAACTTGGATGCCACCTTGGAATGGTTGCCCAGAACTTGGGGGCCACCCTGGAACTTAGGGGCCATCTTGCAATGGCTGCCTAGAACTTGGGGCCATCTTGGAATAGCCACCCAGAGCTTGGGGGCCATCCTGGAATGGATACCCAGAACTTGAAGGTCACCTTGGAACTCAGGGACCATCTAAGAATGACCACCCCAAATTCAAAGGCCATCTTGGAATGATAGCCCAGAACTCAGGGGCCATCTTGGAATGGCCACCCAGAACTTGGATGCCATCTTGGGATGACTGCTAAGTGCTTGGGTGCCATCCTGAAATGGCTGCCTACAACTGGGGCACCATCTTGGAGCTGCATGATGACACATGACCTTTCAGAGGACAGAGAATCCTAGGACTGCCAGGAGAAGTGAAAGACACACAAAGGGAGTCACCGGGTCTACAACTACGGGGCCTTCAGGCACAGGGAGGGGGTCAGAATTCTCATGCACATTCATTTCCTGATTGTCTCTTTAGGGACTTTCCAAAGAGACAGCGGTTTAGGTTGCACTTGCGGAGCAGTAGGGGGATGAGATGTTCCGGCGAGGCTACTCTACGGAAAGCAGCACAGCAAGGGCCCGTAATGTGGCTGAGGACCATTGCTGTGTGAGGAGGTAGAAGGTTGGGGCGGGGGGGTGGGTCCCTTCTTCCTCCACGGATGTCATGCAAAAAGCCAATCGAAGCTCTTCCTGGTGGCATGCTGATATCTCACAGGTCCCCAGAGCCCACACACCCATTCCCTAGACCCTGAGAACATGTCCTGTAATCCGATGGGTGACCTCAGGCTGGGGGTTGGGGGAAAAGAGGCAAGTGGAGGCCTCGAGAGGAGACTTACGTGAAGGCAAAGGCTACCAGGGCCCCACTGACCACTATGAAGTCGAGAATATTCCAGAGGTCACGGAAGTAGGCACCCTGATGCAGGACGAGCCCCAGGTCGATCATCTGTGGGGAAGAAGAGAGGGTGCTCAGAACCCCCACCTGATCCCCACCCTGGGGTGCTGCCACCCACTCTCTAGCCTCTCGGGGACAGGCAGGAAGCCAATGAGGCCACCTCATCTTGCAGGGATGGGCAGTGGCCAGAGGACGCCGGGGAGGAGTGGGGAGCTCCTGCCCATGAGGCGGCCCCTCTTTGCCTAACGGAAGCCAGCTCTGGCTTGCCAGTTCTTAGATCCAAACTTTGGGGTCCTCTTTGAAGCCTCTTTGTCCCAAATCCCTCATGGGTGGCTCTATCAGCAAAGCTCACTGGTTGTGTTTCCAGAACCTTCCAAGAATCTGTCCACTTCTCACCTCCTCTTTGGTCACCAGCCTGATCTTCTCTCATCGTCGCCCATTGGATGGGGACCAGTGTGATCACCTGCTCACAGGTTCTCTGGCTTCCCACAGATGCCAGAGGGCAAGGGGTCAAGTCCCTCCTCTGCTCAGAACCCTCTATGGCTCTCACCTCACTCAAAGTAAAAGCCAAAGAGCTCTCTCTCTGTGATCCTCTGCACAAGCTGCCCCTCACCTCCCCGTTCTCATCTCTCTGTCCTTCGCTTCCCCACTCTTCTCTCGCTCTGCCCAGCCACACCAGTTTCCTTGCTGCTCTTCAAACACACCAGACATTTCTTCTTTTTTTTTTTTTTGAGACGGAGTCTCGGTTTGTTGCCCAGGCTGGAGTGCAGTGGCTGGATCTCAGCTCACTGCAAGCTCCGCCCCCCAGGTTTATGCCATTCTCCTGCCTCAGCCTCCCCAGTAGCTGGGACTACAGGCGTCCGTCACCTCGCCCCGCTAGTTTTTTGCATTTTTTAGTAGAGATGGGGTTTCACCGTGTTAGCCAGGATGGTCTCGATCTCCTGACCTCGTGATCCGCCCATCTCGGCCTCCCAAAGTGCTGGGATTATAGGCTTGAACCACCGCGCCCGGCCCACACCAGGCATTTCTAATCCTCCGGGAGACTCATCCTGTCGAGGTGGGGCATTCTTGAAGGCTCAGAATCTCCTGGAACCCCGACTCTTTTTTTTCTTTTTTTTTTTTTTTTTTTTTTTTTGAGACGGAGTCTTGCTCTGTCGCCCAGGCTGGAGTGCAGTGGCCGGATCTCTGCTCACTGCAAGCTCTGCCTCCCGGGTTCACGCCATTCTCCTGCCTCAGCCTCCCGAGTAGCTGGGACTACAGGCGCCCGCCACCTCGCCTGGCTAGTTTTTTGTATTTTTTTAGTAGAGACGGGGTTTCACCGGGTTAGCCAGGATGGTCTCGATCTCCTGACCTCGTGATCCGCCCGTCTCGGCCTCCCAAAGTGCTGGGATTACAGGCTTGAGCCACCGCGCCCGGCCTTTTTTTTCTTTTTTGACAGGATCTCACTCTATCACCTAGGCTGGAATGCAGTGGCATGATCTTGGCTCACTGCAGTCTCCACATCAGCTCATCGCAGCCTAGGTTTCAAGAGATTCTCCTGCCTCACCCTCCGGAGTAGCTGGGACTACAGACATGAGCCACCACGCCTGGCTAATTTTTGTGTTTTTGGCAGAGATGAGATTTCACCATGTTGGCCAGGCTGGCCTAAAACTCCTGATCTCAAGTGATCTGCCCACCTCAGCCTCCCAAAGTGCTGGGATTATAGGCATGATCCACTGTGCCCAGCCCTGCACTTGCTTAAAAAAAAAAAAAATTACCGCAGGTTCTCACTTATAATCTGCACTCACCTTGATCACCATCTCAAAGGTAAAGACACCTGTAAAAACGTAGTCAAAATATCGCAGCACCTGTTGGGGATAAAAACAAGAGGGCAGTGGATCACTGGCCTGTTCCAGCAGCGCCCCAGTAAAACTAACGATTGCTCGCTGGGGAGCAGAGTCTCTACCCAGAAGAGGAAACACAGCTGCTATATACAGTTGGGCAGGGTGTGCACTGCACAAGCGCCCCTCCCATCTCTTCATACCGCAGATTTGTATGTTGTGAATAAAATTGTCCAGCAGATGGCAGCAAATCCTAACAAACAAAATCACTGTACTAGACCAGTTCGCTAACCCGCGGGAAGGGTGCCTTTTAAAATTTGCCCCAAGCGCTATAGTGGATTAGAAGCGGCCCCAGAGAAGTTCAGGGCTGACTGCATCCCTCTTGGTGACAGATCTAATTCCCCAGTACCCTTGCTTTCCTGGGTATCCTGGGCGAGAAACAGTTGCTACGTGGTTTCTTAAACACTGGGGCCAACCTCCCGCCAAGGCGTCTCTTCTTGCCTCAAGGCCAAGCCCCTCCCAGGGTAGGTTGATTCTTCTCGTCCCCCTCCCCAGGCCCGATGTTTCTGCCTGGATGAGCAACGTCCTCTGACCCAGCCCCTCTCCAGGACACACCATAGCACACCTCCGGTGTCACTCAGGCATGAAGATGAGGGTGTGCTGGCACAGTGTCTGACTGGTGCCAGGTACAGGGGGTGGACACTGGCTGGGCTCGGTGGCTCAAACCTGTAATCCCAGCACTTTGGGAGGCTGAGGCAGGCAGATCGCTTGAGGTCAGGAGTTCGAGACCAGCCTGACCAAATGGCAAAACCCGGTCTCTACTAAAAATACAAAAACTTGGCTGGGCATGGTGGCGTGTGCCTGTAATTCCAGCTACTTGGGAGGCCGAGGTGTGATAATCGCTTGAACCCGGGAGGCGGAGGTTGCAGTGAGTCAAGATCGCACCACTGCACTCCAGCTTGGGAGACAGAGACTCTGTCTAAAAACAAAACAACAACAAAACAAACAAAACAAAAACAAAAACAAAAAACCCCCAAAATCAGATCTACCTGGAAGCTGCAAGGGCTGAGCACTACTGAACATGGCCACCAGAGGGCGCTGTGAATGCGAGTCAGGCACATCCTTCCTCTGCTTACAACCCTCCGTGGCTCCCACCTCATTCAGGTATAAAAGTCAAAGTCCTCCCTGAGGCCCTCACGATCTGACCAGTCAGCTCCCTGCCCTCGCTTCCTCTCCCTCTCTCCCTTGCTCACTTCCTCTTGTTCCCCAAGATGCTCCCACCTCAGGGCCTTTGCACAGGCTGTTGTCTCTCTGGAATGCTTTCCCCTACATCCCATTTGATTCCCTCTTTCTCCTCCTTTATGACTTAGCTCAAATAACACTTTTCCAGTGAGGACTTCCCTGACTGTTTAAATTCCATCTCCTGGTCCTTGAGATCCTCTTTACGAAGTCTCTCTTTCCCTCTGCCTGCCACAACCTCGGCCACTTATCACTCCTTGAACGTCTGTTAGAGTTACCGATAATCTCATTGTCCATCTCCCCCACCCAAATGTCAGCCCCACAAGGACAGGGATGTCTGTCTGTCGCCATGGCATCTCCAGCTTATAATACAGGGTCAGGAATACAGTAGGTGCTCAAGAAATGTTTGTTGAGTGAATGCATGAACAGTTGGGGCTGTACTGGGTCCTGGAGGAGCTGGGCTCTGTGATCTGTGTGGTTATAACTTATATTCCTGTTATGTGTGGTGACTGAAGCGGAATCAGAGACCCGAGTGCCTGGGGTCAGGGCGAGGGACTTCCTGGAGGGAGAGGCTGGTGCAAGGGGATTGGCTTGAAGGACCTGGGTGGGCAGAGGGGATGGTGGTGGGAGAGTATTTCAGGTGCACGAGGCAGTGGGCACAGCCTGGTCAAAGGCCTGGTGCTCTGTGGGCTCTGGGAGTGCAGGGACCGTCTCACACCCTGTCAATCCTCCCTGGCTAGCTCAGTACCTGGCACATAGTAGTTGCTTATTAAATACTAAAGGAATGAATGGAAGGAAAGAAGGAAGAGAGGGAGCTGGGAAAGGGCAGGCTAGGGGGTCAGGCGAATCTAATTCTGGAGTGCTTAATAAGGTGTGCAGGAGGAAATCAAAAGACCAATAAATTAGTTTCAAGTATGCCTAATATTTTGATCTTTTTGATCTATTTGCACATGTCATTTCCTGTCTAATGCAAAAAAGTGCTTGATCTCATTCATTACAGAGAAATGCCAAGCAAAACCCCAATAAGATCTCACTCCACACCCAGCAGATCGGCCAGATGAAACAGCCAGCAGCACCAAGTGTTGACAAGGATATGGAAGAACAGGAGTTCCCATGAGCTACCGGAGCAAGGGCCACTACATTCCTTTATTTTTAAATTTTTCTTTTTGAGATGGCGTCTCGCTGTCACCCAGGCTGGAGTGCAGTGGCACAATCTTGGCTCACTGGAACCTCTGCCTCCTGGGTTCGAGCGATTCTTCTGCCTCAGCCTCCCAAGTATCTGGGATTACAAGCGCACGCTACCATGCCCGGCTAATTTTTGTAATTTTAGTAGAGACCAGGTTTTACCATATTGACCAGTCTGGTCTCTAACTCCTGACCTCAGGTGATCTACCTGCCTTGGCCTCCCAAAGTGGTGGGATTACAGGTGTGAGCCACGGCACATGGCCCACTGTGTTTATTTTTATTTATTTATATACATTTTTGAGACAGGGTCTTGCTCTGTTGCCAAGGCTGAGTGCAGTGATGCCATCTTGGCTCACTGCAACCTCTGCCTCCTGGGTTCAAGCGATTCTCTTGCCTCAGCCTCCCGAGTAGCTGGGATTACAGTTGTGTGTCGCCACACCTGGCTAATTTTTGTATTTTTGGTAGAGATGGGGTTTCACCATCTTGGCCAGGCTGGTCTCAAACTCCTGACATCAAGTGATCCACCTGCCTCAGCCTCCCAAAGGGTAACTGTGTTTATTGTCTAGTAAACATTCAAGCTGCATTGACTGAGGCCAACCACTTGCAAATTTTATGCTCTGGAAACTTCGATTTTGGTTTATACCCTGGAGGAATTCTTATTTATTGAGACAGGGTCTCACTCTGTCACCCAGGTTGGAGTGCAGCAGTATGAACACGGATCACTACAGCCTCGACCTTCTAGACCCAAGTGATCCTCCCACCTCAGCCTCCCAAGTGGCTGGGACCACAGGTGTGCACCACTATGCTCGGTTAATTTAATTTTTTTTTTTTTTTTTGAGACAGAGTCTTGCTCTGTCGCCCAGGCTGGAGTGCAGTGGTGTGTTCTCAGCTCACTGCAAGCTCCACCTCCCGGGTTCACGCCATTCTCCTACCTCAGCCTCCCGAGTAGCTGGGACTACAGGCGCCTGCCACCTCACCTGGCTAATTTTTTGTGTGTGTTTTTTTTTTTTTTTAGTAGAGATGGGGTTTAACCGTGTTGGCCTGGATGGTCTTGATTTCCTGACCTCATGATCCACCTGCCTCGGCCTCCCAAAGTGCTGGGATTATAGGTGTGAGCCATGGCACCTGACCAAAAAAAAATTTTTTTTTTTGGTAGAGGTTGAGGGGGGGATCTCACTATGTTGCTGAAGCTGGTCTCGAACTCCTGGCCTCAAGCAATGCTCCCACCTTGGTCTCTCAAAGTGCTGGGATTATAGGCGTGAGCCATTGCATCCAGCCTCCTGGAGAAATTCTTGTCCAGGTGACTCAGGAAACATGTTGAGGGATGTGGCATGGGGACAGTATTCACACTTAGAAACAACCTAAACATCTGTCAACAGGGTATGGATAACACACCCCATGCCACCCAGTACATCTGAAAACAGCCTCATAAAGAATGCCCATCGGCCAGGCATGGTGGCTCACGCCTGTAATCCCAGCACTTTGGGAAGCCAAGGTGGGTGGATCACTTGAGGTCAGGAATTCGAGACTGGCCTGGCCAACACGGTGAAACCCTGTCTCTACTAAAAATACAAAAATTAGCTGGGTGTGGTGGCGGGTACCTGTAGTCTCAGCTACTCCAGAGGCTGAGGCAGGAGAATCGCTTAAACCCAGGAGGCGGAGGTTGCAGTGAGCCAAGATTGCACCACCGTACTCTGGCCTGGGTGACAGAGCAAGACTCCATCTCAAAAAAAAAAAAAAAAAAAAGAATACCCATCAATCCTGCAACAGCAACATATACTCACTTAGTGCGAATACAATGTTGGGTGACAAGCGGAAGCACAGGTGTCGCATTTATTGAATGTTACAGAAGAGCAAACATAAATTCTAGTTTTTAAGAATTGGCCAGTGCGGTCGCTCATGCCTGTAATTCCAGGGCTCTGGAAGTCTGAGGAGGGACGATTTACTTGAGGTCAAGAGTTCGAGGCCGGCGTGGCAACATAGCGAGGCCCCGTTTCTACAAGAATTTTCAAAATTAGCTAGGTGTGGTGGTGCATGCCTGTGATCCTAGCTACTTGAGGGGCTGAGCTGGGAGGCTCGCTTGAGTCCAGGAAGTTGAGGCTGCAGTGAGCCATGATCACGTTACTGCACCCCAACCTGGGCGACAGAGAGAGACACTGTTTCTTAAAAAAAAAAAAAAAAAAAAAAAAGAGTGGTCTGTGGGGGTGGGAAAAAAGAGAGAAGCTGAGAAACGCTCATTCCAGAAGCTGGGGTCGTGGTTACCCGGAAGGCAGGGTTTCTCAGGCTGGGCTCTGTGGACATTTGGGGAAGGATCGTACTCTAGAGAGGGGGCCGTCCTGCGCATCGGTGGGTGCTGAGCAGCGTCCCTGGCCTCCACCCACCAGATGCCAGGAGCACCTCCCCCCTCCTGTCGTGACAACCAAAAATGTCTACAGACAGTGTCCCCAGCAGCTCCAGAGGGAAGGCAGGCAGTGGGGGTGGGGGATCGAGGAGGCACATGCCGCGTGGGGTGTTTTTGTTCTATTTCTTGCCCTGGATGGTGGTTACGTGGTGTGAACGTTATGGGGCCACAGTGTTCCTGTAGAGAAGTTTCGACTGCGAGATGGACGAAGGAGGGGGCCGGGGCGCTGAACGCTCTTTGCAAACACTCCCTGGGGCCCGGTCTGAGCGCTGCCTAGATTCCCTTCAGCCTCGGGAGGTGCCGTGCCCCGCCCGCATCATCCATGCCTGTGCCCTCCCCGCCGGAGGCAACGCCTTCTCCAGCCTCCTCCAGCCAGCAGGGGGTTTGTGGACCCCTCCTGGGACACCCCCTCCCCATGCCTGGCTCCTGGAGGCCTCTGGGGGAACCCAGGCTACAGGAAGCAACTGAGCCGGCTGTGAGGAGGCGGGGCACTGGCTCTGGCTTCCTCCAGGAGCTGTGTTCTAATTATTTGCTTCCATCTCCCCCATTAGGTCCCCGGGGGGGCCTGCCAGGCCTGGGAAGGAAGGGAAAGTGCATGGTAAGCTGTGGGCGGGCTTGAGGGATGGGGCTTGCCAGCCTTGCCTGGGTCCTAACCTACTTAGCCAGGGCAGCAGAGCCTCAGACCAGCAGCAAACACACTTCTTTGGCTCTGGGCTGGGAGGGAAGGGATGGGGGAGGGAGCTGGGGAGGGAAACAGGAGCCACCAGTCCACCCTCTACCAGGCCCTGGGGTCAAGCCTCTGCCCACAGCCCATGGTTGAGGCACGCCCTTGCCTGTTGGTGCCTCCGTTTCCCCATCTCAACCACAAGCACGCACTCATTCCTGCTTGTCAGGACTCAAAGGGGCTACGCACACCCATCCGTGGCATACAGTAGGTGATTAGTAAATGCAGACAGCTGGGGGAAGCAGCGGGCGCTTTGGGGGATACGGAGTTGGAATTCTGCTGTGTGACCCCGGACAGGTCACTTACCACTCCTTCATTCCCCTGAGTCTCAGTTTTCCCATCTGTCAAGTGGGGATGCCTGGGCAAGGAGCGGGGGGTGCATTGTGAGGATGAAACGGGATGGTTCACGCTGAGTTTCTTCCTGGGACTCAGCAAGTGCTCAATTAACAGTGATTGTCAAGAGACCTACCACCTGCAAAGGGGCTTGCTTTCATAAAAATCGAAAGCTTAGGCTCTCTTTCTGAACCAGATAGTTGTTTCTTTCAGAGCAACAAATGTCCAAAGGGAAATGTCTACAGCAGAGGGGACCACCTCTGAGCACCGCTCCTGCCCCAGTAACCCCCCGATTCCATGTAGAGAGTGTGCAACATCCATATCCTGTTAGTCTCACGCCTCCATTAAAGAATCCAGCAATTTTCAGCCCCAGCCACTCTGGGCCACCTCCTCCCCACCAGGCTCACACAGCCACTGCCTCAAGGAATGTCTTACTTCCAAGAGCATCCCCAAGGAATCAGAGCTTCCCCTCTCAACCAACAGCCATAAGGGCTATGCCTAGGGGTGCCCCCAACATCCCACCCTACCTATAGCATTTTGGATGCAGGAGAAAGTGGCCTGAGGCAGAGGAGCCAGGCTAGGAAGGGGCGTGCTCTGTGGGACTCACGTTGTTCCGAGGTGCGTTGGGCTGCACAGGGTCCTCGGCGGCCAGGGCGATGCTGCTCATGGCAATGACCATGAGGATGCACATCTCAAAGTAGCGCAGGTTCAGGATGTAATGGCACAGGCGGCGAAGGCTGTTGGAGACAGATGGGTGTGCAGAGGTCCACTCAGACCACAGGCTCGCAAACCCTTTTCTTCCATAATCTCATGTTACCTACCACTACCTGAGATCTCCGACCTCCAAGGCCTCATACACAACAAACTATTAAGCTCCTCCAGGTGGGTGCCCTCTCTGGGTCCTGGAACCCCAAGAAGGCAGAGGGGACCTTGGTGAGAGAAGACATTCACATGCCCTGTTTAGCAAAGTTCCTATCACTCCCAAACGACCCTCTTGAAATATCTTGATCCCTAAGCTAGGTTGAAGAAATACGGTCCTTAATTCTGTAGGAGATAAAAAGCCTTTTCGATATTAAATGTCCCAGGGTCAAACAATATTGTGAATCTATGGGTTAAGTAGGTTTCTTTCTTTTTTAAAAATTAGCTGTGTGACCTTGGGCAAGTTGCTTGTCCCCTCTGTGCCTTGGTGCCCTCATCTGTAAAATGGCCATAATACTAATGCTTACTTCACAAAATCGTGAGACCCGAGAGTTAATCTATACCTGGCTCATGATAGGGGGCTCCAAAAAGTTAGTTATTGAAATTATGAACTGCAGGCCTTATCAGAGCCTTGAAGGTACCAATGGGATGTGCCAGTTAACCTCTTAATAAGTGGAGCCAATAACAAATAGTCCATAAGGTTGTGTGAATGGCAGCAGAGCTGAGTGATTAAGAACAAGGAGGCTACAGCCAGTGTCTGGGCTCAAACTCCAGCTCTCCCACTGGCTTGCTGTGTGACCTTGGGCAGGTGAATTCACGTCTCTGGACCTCAGTTTTTCATCTGTCAAATGGACCTAAGCATAGTAACAACCTCAGAGAAATTTAAAAAAAATTTTGAGGCACTCAGAACAGTGCCTGGCACTGAGTAAATACCACATAAGTGTTTCCTTAGTAAAATCGATAAGTCAATGAAATAAAAAAGTATTTTAAAAGTACTTTTATTTATTACTACTCAGAGTGAGTTGCCAAGAGGCAGATTACAGAAAGCAGCTTCCCCCCATCTTATCTGACATGATCCTTCATTGTCAAGAAGCATTTTGAGGGGTCAGGCTTTCAAGAAATAGCCTTGGGAGACATTCAATTCTGAAATAACCTCCGAGCCACCACGACACTCACAGGATAATTCTCCCCTAAATAATCTATTCGTTTCAAAGATGCCCAAGACAGAAGGCCATGGAACTCAGAGACTGTCTGCCCAGAATCTAAACCCTTACAGAGTCTAGGTTAGGAACAGAGTTCGGGTCCAAAGGTTGCCATGTGCAGTTGTTCAGGCTGTGTACTGCACAAGGCAGCCATTTCTAAGGGGGTGCCTCTTATATCACAGACAGCATAGATCTGGATATTTATGACAATGATTTTCTAGCGGAGGGCAGGAAGGGGATCTCTTCCAGCAAAGTCAGTATATTGTGACAAATCATCTTACGTGACTTAAGGAAGGAGCATCCGTTTTCAGTTTGTTCAAAGGTACCCTTGGACTCATGGTGGTCAACACTCACTCAACTGCCCTCTATCTGGCCTGACTTCCGCTACCCTGGTGGGAGCCCCAGGCCCCCCTGCCCTTGCTGGGGGCCATACTCACGGGTTGGTCGTGGACAGGATGAACATGGAGCTATAGGGAGGCATTGGCTTAGGGCCGTCTTCCCCACGGTCGTCTTCCTCCTCCTCCTTCTTCTCGTCCTCTTTTTTTGGCAGTGGGTCTGGGTTGGCGTTTTTGTTCACTGTTGGGACAAGAACCAACACAGGGCTCCCTCCACAATTTCCCACAAGTCTCTGGGAACTCCTGTGTACTCCCAGGGCAGGCAAGAAGCCGCTGACATTTATAAAGCGCCTGCTGTATATACCAGGCATCCTATGACATCACTGAACCCTCGTAGGGCCCTGAGGTTGATATATTCTGATCACCCATTTACAGATGAGGAAATTGAGGCACAGAGAAGTAAAGTGACTTGTCTAAGGTCACACAGCAGGAAGTGGCAGAGCTGGCATTTGAAACCCAGGAGGCCGAGGGCCAGCTCTCAACCACTCCGTAGCCTTGAGTGGGGTGGGGCCCTCACGGGATATTAACACAGACCTGCCCCTATCCTTATTGGACCTTCACATCCTCACTTGCAGGCAGGTAGGGACAGTGCCAAGAGATCCATTGAACAGATGGAAATACTGAGACCTCCCATAAACCGCATGGCGTGCCCCCATTAACACCCCTCTCGACTCAGGGGGAGGAGCTATCAGCCTCTGGAGCTTCCATTCTGCAGCCCAGCCAGATTATGTGCACACGGGCAGGCTGAGCCTCTCTGAGCCTCAGTCCCTACATCTATAAAATGGGCACAGTGACAAGATCTTAGGATCTTAGGTCTCAGGACCATGGAAAGCCTTTATCCAGCAGACCCATGAAAATTTCTCACACAGAACTGACACTAGAGGCACTTAAGACATCATCTACTCAGCAGTTCACTACTTTTTCTTTTTTTTTTTTTTTTGAGACGGAGTCTCGCTTTGTCACCCAGGCTGCAGCGCAGTGGTGCCCTCTTGGCTTACTCTACCTTGGCCTCCTGAAGTGCTGGGATCACAGGCATGAGCCAGTATATCTGGCCCCTGTTTTAATGTGGCGACTAGAAAGTTGAAACTGACATTGGCATGTGGCCTGTGTTACATTTCTTTCAGACACTGCTGGGCCGAGAGAATCAATCATCTGATCCCCTGAAGCTTCCATCAGAGGACCCTATTGCTCCTCAAACGGGGTGACTTCCTGGCTCCCCTAGGGAAGGAAGGACGTAAGAGATATTGCTAACCTGATCGAACATGTCCCCGTGCCAGGCACTGTCCTCAAATTATCTCACTGAATGTTCCACAGCCCTGCGGGGTAGGAAACTACATCTATGCCCATTTTCCAGGGGGGAAACTGAGGCCAGAGAGATGGGGTCACAGTCCAGGGTCACTCAGCAGAGCCTCTGGCTCCAGGGGCGCCGGGTCCCCTGCCCAGCGATGTGAGGGCGGAGGGTCTCACCTTGCACGATGGTGTGGTTGAGTGGGGGTGGGCAGGCCGGGGGGATGTCCACCGTGGTGTGGTCGGGTTTCCTGGCAGTCTTAGCTGAATTGGTCTGGGTGCCGCTGGGGTTGGTGACGATAAGGCTGTTCTCAGGCGTCTTGGGGGGGCCGGGATTGGATGGGTTCCCCGGGTTGTTGGGCATCCGGCGGCTGGCGGCGTTCTGGGGGTTGGTGGCCATGGCAGGGATGGCCGGCGTGGGGCCGGGGTCCGTACTGTTTCCCATCTTGGCTGGGCTCTGGGGCAGGCCGGCGTGGCCGAGGCTGTCGTGGGGACCGGCCGACTCGGCGGTGGCCAGCTTGTTGTTCTTCATGTTGTCAATGTCCTCTGCCAGGGGTGGGTCTTGGCGGCCCAGGTCCTGCTGGATTGGCCGGGTGGTTGACAGGTTGGGGCCTGACACAGGGACCCCAGAGCCCTGGTTCTCTCTGAGGAAGGCAAGTGAATGAAAAAGAACGAACAACTGAGTTAGGATAAAACGCAACAGGTCAGGATCCTAGCTAAGATTCCATCTTTCAAGAGTACAACTTGGGCTGGGCACAGTGGCTCACGCCTGTAATCCCAGCACTTTGAGAGGCCGAGGCAGGAGGATTGCTTAAGGCCGGGAGTTCAAGACCAGCTTGGGCAACATAGTGAGACCCCATTTCTACAAAAAATGTATAAATTGACAGGCGTGGTGGTGTGTGCCTGTAGTTCTAGCTACTTGGGAGGCTGAAATGGGAGCACTGCTTGAGCCTGGGAGGTTGACGTTGCAGAGAGCTGTGATCGTCCCACTGCACTCCAGCCTGGGTGACAGAGTGAGACCCTGTCATCAAAAAAAAAAAAAAAAAAAAAAAAAAGAAAAGAAAAGGAAAGGGTACAATTTGGTCAGGGAGAAGTTGTGTCCCAGATCCCTGTAGCGCCTGGAATTGAGAAGGGGCTGTTCAATTCTTGGTCAGAGTTCAAGACCTTCACATGCCCACTGACAGGTTTCCACAACTCCCCATCATCTTACTTCTTTTCCTTCTTTTCTTCTTTTTCTTTTTTCTGAGATGGAATCTTGCTCTGTCATACAGTGGTGTGATCTCGGCTCACTACAACCTCTGGCTCCCGGGTTCAAGCGATTCTCTTGCCTCAGCCTCCCAAGTAGCTGGGATTACAGTTACCCACCACCACAACTGGCTAATTTTTTGTATTTCAGTAGAGACGGGGTTTCACCATTTTGGCCAGGCTGGTCTCGAATTCTTGACCTTAAGTGATCCACCCACCTCAGCCTCCCAAAGTGCTGAGATTAAAGGTGTGAGCCACCGCACCTGGCCTCTTTTTTTTTTTTTTTTTTCAGACAGGGTCTCACTCTGTTGTCCAGGCTGGAGTGCAGTGGCAGGATCATAGCTTACTGCAGCCTTGAACTTCTGGGCTCCAGTGATCCTCCCATCTCAGCCTCCGGTTAGCTGAGACTACAGGCTCATGCCAACACACCTGGCTAATTGTAAAATTTTTTGTAGAGACTGGTGCCTCACTATGTTGCCCAGGCTGGTCTCAAACTCCTGGGTTCAAGTGATTCTTCCTCCTCGGCCTCCTAAAATGTTGGGATTACAGGCGTAAACCACAATGCCCAGCTTGTTTTTTACTTTCTTATTCATAGCTGAGTTTTCACTGCCTAGTACAGGGCCTCTCACACAGTCAATGCTGGGTAACTTACTGTCAAATGATAAGCGAATAAATGAATACCCCCATTTTCTTTTCTTTTTTTTTTTTAAAACTGAGACAGAGTCTCACTCTGTTGCCCAGGCTGGAGTGCAGTGGCGGGATCTCGGCTCACTGAAACCTCTGCCTCCTGGATTCAAGTGATCCTCGTGCCTCAGCCTCCCGAATAGCTGGGATTACCAGCGTGCACCACCATGCCCAGCTAGTTTTTCTATTTTCAGTAGAGACAGGGCTTCGCCATGTTGCCCAGGCTGCTTGAACTCCTGGCCTCAAGTGATCCACCCGCCTCGGCCTCCCAAAGTGCTGGGATTACAGGAGTCAGACACCGCACCTGGCCAGAATGTCCCACTTATCTAGATGAGGATACTGAGGCTCCAGGAGAGATCCCACAGCCTCAGACCTCCCATCAACCCCTGCGTCTCCAAGCCATGGACACCTGGGCCCTGCCTCCTGCCATCTGCAGGTTGACAAAGACTCACTTAGTAGCCCATCTGATGCCTTCCGGACTATAGACCCCCTGGACAAAGCTCTGGTTTCCCACAAATCTCCCTAGAAATAATAAATAAATAAATAATAAATAAAAGGCTGGCTTTCCCCAGAGGGCTTCCCACTGGCGAAACTACCAGCACCATTCTCCTCATTTTATTTTTGCATTTGAACGTGCAAAAACCCAGGGTGTTTTTAGTAAGCGGAAGAGAGACAAGCTAATTTATTTTCAGACCAAAGTAGGTAAGTGGGATGCTTCTATTAATACTTCCCGGAAGGAGAAACCGAGGCAGTTCCACTGTTTCTCTGAGACCGCACAGGGGAAATGGGCAGGTCCAAGCAACTTTCTGCCTTCTCAGTTTCGTGAGTGGGTCATAGAGTGACATTTCAGAAGACAGGCTGAACCTGGGTTCGAATCTCGGCAATGCCTTTTTTTTTTTTTTTTTTTTTTTTTTTTTTTGAGACAGGGTCTCACTCCGTCACCCAGGTTGTAGTGCACTGGCGCGATCTCAGCTCACTGTAATCTCCACCTCCCAGGCTCAGGCAATCCTCCCACCTCAGCCTCCCGAGTAGCTGGGACAATAGGTGCATGCCACCATGCCTAGCTAACTGTTTAATTCTTCTTTTCGTAGAGATGAGGTCTCACTATATTTCCCAGGCTGGTCTCAAACTCCTGGGCTCAAGTGATCCTCTTGCCTCAGTCTCTCAAAATGCTGGGATTATAGGCATGAGCCAGTACACGCGGGGAAATCTCAGCAACATCACTAGCTGTGTGACCCTGTGTGGTTTGCTTAACCTCTCTGAGCCTTAGTTCCCACATTTTAAAATTTGGGATAACAGGAGTAGAACCTTCTCTATATCCCAGAGACTGAAGCAATGATCCTGGACCTTCTTTTTTTTTTGAGATGGAGTCTCGCTCTGTCGCCCAGGCAGGAGTGCAGTGGCGCTATCTCGGCTCACTGCAAGCTCCGCCTCCAGGGTTCACGCCATTCTCCTGCCTCAGCTTCCCACAGGCGCCCGCCAGCAGGCCCGGCTAATTTTTTGTATTTTTAGTAGAGACGGGGTTTCACCGTGTTAGCCAGGATAGTCTCGATCTCCTGACCTTGTGATCTGCCCGCCTTGGCCTCCCAAAGTGCTGGGATGACAGGCGTGAGCCACCGCACCCGGCCGATCCTGGACCTTCTTTACCACATAATCTCCAGTGAGTTACCTAGCCTCAGTTCCTGATCCATAACATGGGGGCCGTAACCTCATTGAGTCTGGCTCTGAGAACTAAGTATGTTAATGAGCTGAGAGTCACCGAGGATTATTCTTGGGCCTTGAAACCTAATGGGATTTGTCTTGCTGGATTTAGCACTTGCTTAGGACTGGTGACCTCTTTATCCCTTCCAATTTCTCCCTTTTGCAATAGGAACGTCTATCCTGCCTGTCCCGCTGTTATATTTTGGAAACATACAAAGATCACTTGTTTCGTAGTTTCTATTATATATATATATAAAATATATATATTATATATATTTATCTTATCTGTCTTATTTTTTTGAGATGGAGTCTTGCTCTGTCACCCAGGCTGAAGTGTAATGTGCGATCTTGGAGATCTTGGCTCACTGCAACCTCTGCCTCCCAGGTTCAAGTGATTCTCCTGCCTCAGCCTCCAGAGTAGCTGGGACTACAAGCGTGTGCCACCATACCCAGCTAATTTTTTTTTTTCGGTATTTTTAGTAAAGACAAGATTTTGCCATGTTGGCCAGGCTAAAACTCCTAGCTTCAAGGGATCTGTTGGCCTTGGCCTCCCAAAGTGCTAGGATTACAGGCGTGAGCCACCGTACCTGGCCTAAATGAGGTAAATTCTAAACCAATATTTCCTCAACATCTTGGACAGTCCACAAAGAAATTCCTAGTTCTAAGCTGCTTGTGATGCTTTTTGAGAAGTTGTGTATCACATGAAAACCTGCCTGAGAGTATTTTCTCATCATCTGTAATGCGTGTGTGTGGGTATGCGTGTGTATAATCGTAATAATATATTTTTAAGAGACAGGGTCTCGCTCTGTTGCCCAGGCTGAAGTGCAGTGGTGTGAACATAGCTCACTGCAACCTTTAAATCCTGGGCTCAAGCGATCCTCCCACCCCAGGTAGCTGGGATTGCAGGTACACACTGCTGTGCCTGGTTACTTTTATTAATTTTTGTAGAGAGAGGGTCTCACTATGTTATTCAGGCTGGTATTGAACTCCTGGGGCTCAAGTGATCCACCTGCCTCGGCCTCCCAAAGTGCTGGGATTACAGGTGTGAGCCACCACGCCTGGCCCTGTATATGTATATACACATTTAAGAGAGAGAGATCCCTACCATAAAGCAGGCCCAGTTAAGTTGTAATTTCAAAGAGAACCTACATCCTTTGGCCACCAGCTCAAGAGGCCATGGAGAAACTCGTGGGGGCATTTTCTTAGAGGAATACCATCTACCAAGAGCGGATGGAAAAGGTCTGCCAATGTTTGTTTTGTCTTGTTTTTGCTTCCTCATAGAGTTTCTGTTGGTTGGTTGTTGGGAAATTTTAACAAGCTCAGCCTGCAGAGGCCTAATATCAATTTCCAGGAGGTTTCATTTCCAAAGTGTCTCCAAGGAGAACTCAAAAGGGGCAGAAAACTTTGAAGCTGGGCGCCTTCCCCCTTCCCCCTTCCCCCTGGGGATCTGGCATCCTCTGCCTGGAATAGGCGGCCAGTTGCATAACACCTGCTCTGCAAGGCATTCTTGTGCCAGCTAATCACTTCGGCATCCTTCTGCGGAGGACTGCGGACACCTTGCCTGGGGCACACTCAGACCCCGAGATCAGATTATGTGGGGGTGATAATAACAGCAGTCCCGGTTTATTGCTCACCCCCACCCCCCTGTCCCAAAGACCTCACGTATTAACTCATTTCATCCCTGCAACCACCAGCATCTGAGATGGGTATAGTGATTGGCCCCATTTCAGAGGAAGAGACTGAGGTTCAGAGAGGCAGTCATTTGCCCAGTGTTACCCAGCTGGAAAACAGCTGAGCTGGGCTCTCTGGTGTTCAATGCTTTAATCAGGCAGCTTGGTACTGTGGCTCACGCCTGTAATCCCAGCACTTTGGGAGGCTGAGGAAGGAAGATTGCTTGAGCCCAGGAGTTTGAGATCAGTCTGGGCAACATAGTGAGACCCCATCTCTAAGAAAAAAAAAAAAAATGAGCTGGGCGTGGTTGCATGAGGCTGCAGTTCCAGCTACTTGGGAGGCT